AAATACTAATTACTATAATATAATTTAATTAAATTTAATAACAATTCAAAAGCAACGGAATTTATATAAACAAATAAACGCATTTATAAATATAAATATATACACTCACACACACATATATATATATATATATATATATATTATATATTAATGTATATATTCTAATTTATTCATATTCTTGTCATCTGTTAACCGGTTCGTATAGGACCATCATTTTATTTTTTCATATAAAAAAAAATCGAAACTAGTTTCCATCCACGAGATCAGCGACCTCTTAGCGATTGATTTAATAATTTATAATAATTATTATCATAATAAAAATAACTGTTATTTTCAATTATATAATACAAAGGCCGGATTTATGTGGAAATTTCGAGACATTTTTCTACATTTCTCTAAATATCTGGAAAATTTTGCAGTAACACAGCAGAAACTAGATAAAATTTGCAACATTCTGTAGGGAACACTTTATACAGTCCGATAAAAAGTTTTGAATAAATCAACTTTGAATTTGATATTTAATATTTGATTTGAATGATTAAAAAATTCGGGATTTTTTTTTGGTTTTTGTCACATAACTCAAATATTTCATATGGAACCACCCCTTTTCAGTTAGATGGGGTGAAATTAGATAAAATTTACAACATTCTGTAGGGAACACTTTTATACAGTCCTAAATAAAAGTTATGAATAAAACGGTAAATGCAATGGATTTTTCTACCTTTCTTTAAATATCTTGAAAATTTGACAGTTGATCAATATTAGTCCTTTGGTTAGACGTTTGATGGTAAAAATGTTTATTAGGAAGTTAATTTACATTTAAATTTCAAATCAAATTTAAATTTCAAATTTCGCGCCAAAACTTATTGCAGCGACAAGTTCATGTCACTTATCTATTCTAGCACATTTTTTTTGACATTTAAACAAAGATGGTGGATTTGGAGAACTAATTTTAATTGCAAAAATTTCGTTATTGTTTGAAAGAAAACAGTTATAAAATGGTATATATTTACTTGAAAATTTATACAAAGGTTGATTCCCCACAATATATATATATGTATATACTATATATGTAATTTTATTTGTGCCAAATGTATCATCAAGTATTTTATTCACGTACCACCGGCGTAATTTATTCAATAAATATTTTTTTATGATTGCATGCTTCGTCGTGCTTTATGTATTCTTATTTCTTAAATATACTGTAGATATATATATATATATATATATATATATATACGTGATTAGAATTCCCAAGTACAGTTAGGCAAACGTATTGTTATTATTGTTCAAATAGTTATTATAATTATAAATTTATAATAAAAAATAATTAGTTATTAGTTTTGTCACTAATTAAATGTATTAATTTATAATTATCAATAATGTACTAAAAAATACTAAAATCCGTTTTGATTAAAACTAGCTATTAAAATGTGATATTTATTTAATACTGACAAAAAAAAATTCAATAACTGTAAAATAATTTTATTATTTTAGTCTTTCTACATAGAACACTCTCAACAGCAAACAATTTGATTTTTGGTGTATAAATAAATAAATAAATAAATTTAATTAAAACAAAATTTCATGATTGCGAAACGTCAAAACACAATTGTCAAAATGTCTATTTTTTTAATACAAAATATAAATTTTATAATATAAAAGCTATTTTTTTATAATATTTTTAGTATGTTATTTGTACCTATATTATTTCATAATCAAATCAAAATATTTAAATGTATTGAGAAGTTTTATTTATTTATTTATTAAAAAAAATATTTTTGAAGCAAAATTAAGCATGGATATAAAATAATAAAGTAATAAATATATTTTTTATCTAAAATAATAAAACACATGAACGGAATATCTGGAATCTGAAACAAAGGTTTCAAGAAAAAAATCTTAAGACTAATTTCTGATAATTTTATCTAATTTCTATTTTTTGTTCTAGGTGGCACAATCAGCCAAAAGTTGCCAAAATGTCTTGGCCCGCCAGCTCATCTATCATCATCTTCATCCTGATCCTTACCACGACTTCTCTGTGCAAACACCAGGACGAAGATCAGGATGATGATCCACTATTTTCCTACACAGTTCCTGCAACAAATAGTTCCGAAAACATCTTCCATAACCAGAAACACGACTACAACCATGTCATCAACCAGCTAAAGCACATAATTTCGGAGAAGATTTCACAAATTCCGAAGAATGTAACCAGGATTGTCCAGAAGCTCAAGAATATTACGCATGTCGACCATGATAAGGGAGTGATGACGACTGTTCATGAGGTTAGTACATCAACTTGTCCGAATGATAAAGAAACTTCTGAAGATGCTACTACTGAGTTGGCAACTGAAAAGAGTACAACAACGATGGCAACTGAAAGAACTACAACAACAATGGCAACTGAAAGAGTTGCAACAACTTTGGCGACTGAAAAAACAACTGTTGATCATGATGAATCAACATCGACCACCAAGCATGATGATCTTCCGAAGCACAAGTTAAGAGCAGATATCACATCCATAGTTGTCAGTATAAACAGTTCTTTAGACAATGTGCAGAATGACACCTGTGATTTGGACGAGAACAACATCTACAGGTTGCCCAGAAATGTGGTTCCTCAACATTACCATTTGAACCTGATCACTTACCTGGATGAGGCCATGAACTATTCGTTTAGTGGACAAGTTGCCATTGCGGTAAGTAAAAATAGATAAACCTTAACGCAAGTTGCAACCAGACTTAATAATAAGAATCGGAATTTAGCAATATTCAGAAGAACATCATGAGTGCTTGCCATGCTGTCTGAACCTAACACAATGCTTTTTCATATATTTTTTCTTAGACTCGGATGTGCATGGTAAGAATTACTTTGACATTTTTTAATATTTGCAAGCTAATCAATCAATATAAAATATCTAAACTTATTAAATATAAATCAAACATGACAGTCTCTAATGTTTCATATAAATATATGCCAATATTATACTTATTATTACAATATAATATATTTTGCTATTATATAATTAATATAAGTATCTCACTTCATTTATCTCCATAGACATTATTTGCGCAAGCATTTTTACAATCTCAATCTTTGTTTCTTAAAATGTTTTTGCCAACCAACTTATGTATACCAATATTTGAAAAAAATGTATCAACATTTTTATTAAATTTATCAATGAATGTGTACTCGAAATCAATCTTCAGTTTTGTGATTCAATCCAGACATTATATCCTTTCATATTTCCGAATTATTTATTTTCAGCTATTCTTGATTTTTTGTTGTAAAAGTAATATGACTTGATTCACATTCACATATTTTATATTCTCCAATTGTCGAGATACTTTTTGAGTGCTGATGCAATTTATTATCTTAGCATCTGGTACACCCTTATTGCCATAATCACATAATTACAATTAATAATATCTAGAGTGAATATTAACTAAACTCGTTTTCTACTTTTATATATCTACTTTACATATTTATTTATATTTATATTTTCATTACGGATACAGGATTATATTTAGTAAGTACAGAAAATAAATTATCTTAATTGAATTAATTACAGTAAAATACAAATATAAAACAATATTAGGCCTAACATTAGTAATATCTAATACAATAACTTGGAAAAAAAAAGTTATAATATTGAAAAAGTCTATTTAAGGCTTGTAGATCTTGACATTCTTATGGTAAAAAAAAATCCTTTAAATATTCGTTGAGCAATTTTTATTTGAGTCCCATATCTGGAAAATAAAAATTAAGAGCAGTAACAAAAAAGAATATAATATGAAAATAATTGTACTAATAATATACTTAGGGTAGAAAAATGTTAAAATAATTTTGAATAAAAATTAGAAAAAGTATGGAAAAGAAAAAAAATAATTTCAACTGTTGGAAAAAAAAGTATCAAATATTATCAGTAGGCATTTCATTATCAAAATATTGTTTGATATCGAAATTGGCAAACTCAGAAGTATTGTAGAAACTTTGGGCTTTTAAAAGTTCAACAATGGCACTATGAAATTGACGATCATTCAATTTCCTAACATATAGTGGGAGTAGATTAAAAAGCTGTACTCCTCTTCCGTCTATGGTATTGAAAGATGTTTCAATTTAAAAGTTGGTTCTTTTATAGTCAAATTTATTGTTTTATAGTAGGAATTCAACATGGAGGATAGGTTGAAGCGTTCAGGATTTTTCTTTATGAATGACAACGTAACTAACTTTTGATTTTAGAATCCCCAACATGAAACAGTTTTTGTTAACTTAGGTACAAGTATGGAATGAATATGATTGTTCCAGGTCAAGTTTTTTTGTAATTGGATGCCTAGAAATTTAAAGACTGAGGAAAATTCAAATTGAATGCTATTGATAGTTAAAGAATTGATCTCATGACCCATCCTATTCACTGTTCGAAAAGAACATAATTCAATACAAAGAAAATTGATGTAAGGGGCTTTTTGCCTAAAGGCAAGTTGCTTTACACATGCAGATTTGTTCGAAATTTGGCGTCAAAATAATCGAAACATCCAGAAAATATTCATTATGTCTGTTATCCAGGTTAGATGTGTTCGTCCAACAAAAGAAATCATCCTGCACGCCCTCGAGCTGGATATCGACGAAAAAACCTCCAAGTGTTGGAAATCATGACCAACCATGTGGAACGCAAACAAAAGTCCACCAACAACACCTTGGCCTGGATCGACCGTGAGAACCTGGTCAAAAGTGCAGGGTACTTGCCAAAAGTCAATGAAACCGCTCAGAACGACTTCTATAGAATTGAACTCAATCAGGAAATGAATGTAGGAGAAACTTATGTGGTGATGATAAAATTTACTGGACTGATTAAGGAGACCCTGTCGGGATATTATAGATGCAGTTATAAGAAGGAGAATGGTGAAAAAGAGTGAGTGGGTGATGGATATAGGGTTAAAAGGTTCAATTTGACCAAATTTTATTTTTTCAGGTGGCTTTCGGTGACCCAATTTGAACCCACAGATGCCAGGAGGGCTTTTCCTTGTTTTGATGAACCTGACATGAAGGCAACTTTTGATATTAATTTGTTACATCGAAAAAAGTACAGGGCTATCAGTAATGCACCAGCTGCTAGCATCACTGAAATGTGAGTAGATAAAAGAACTAGGTATACCTATCCAACTGCCTTTCTGTCTACTTATTTATCTTTCAATCTTTAATAAGCCTCTAAGTTTTCCCTAATATTAAGTTGCTGGTCTATTTCTTCAGGATGGACAATCCAGATTGGCTGTGGACGAATTTCACAACAACTCCAAAAATGTCGACATACCTGGTGTTTTTCATGGTCTCGGATTTTGAAGTTAGGGATGTTACAAAATTTGATTACAAATTTGAGGTCTACGCTATGCCAAGGGCCATCAACCAGGTAAAAAAATATGCAAAAAACTTCTTCGAATTGACTAAAATATTGTAGATCACAGTACTCGCTTTCAATTTAATATGAATTGTATTATCTAATTGCCACTGTTACTTAAAAATTCTTTTAGAGGACATATTTTATATTTATAAATTATTTAAACAAACATGAACACACATATACATGCACACACTCATGAAAACATTTATACACAGATAGGAATTCATATATGCATATATGAAACACAATATTTATTTATTTATTTATTTATTTATTTATTTTAAATATATAGCCCACAGATTTCTTCCAAGAGGACTCAAAAATACAATTATTTTAGAAAATGAATTACAATTAAAATATACACAAAATTACAATATATAGTTATTAACATAAAATGCTTAATATAAAATTACATATAATGCAGAATTTAAAAATATTATTTTATAAACAGAATAAGATAAAATAATGAGATATTGGAAAAGAAAATATAAAGATTAACTTGTGCAGATGGAGATTATTTGATTAGATGAAGTGTTGTGAATATCTATTTCATTATTAATTAGGTTAAAGTTAGAGGACATAAGTAAAATAGGCGAATTTAAGAGTGAATTAGATTTAGGAGTAGGATAATTGAAAAATAATTGTGAACACGTAGATAGTCTTTGAACATTAAAGGATAGCTGATTAAGAATAAACTTATTAATATTAATTATCTAGAGGACAGTCTATAGAATTATTGCAAAGTTTAAATAAGAATATAATTGTACAGATAAATCGACGTGAGGCAAGGGAAGGAATACCAAATTCTTTTAGTAATGTGTTGTTGTCAAAGCCACGTTCAGGGTAAATTTTATATGTTTTATAATAAAGATATTTCAGAAATTTTCGCTGAGCCTTCTCTATCGCATCAGAGTTGTTGATTTGATGAGGATACCAAATAATCGAACCATATTCTAATTTACAAATGTACAATAGAATAGTACATGCAAAGAAGTGCATTGTTAGAATTGAATTGTTTACAATTTCTCAGTATAAAACCTAAAGATTGATGTGCCCTATTACAAATATCAGTTATATGTTCCGTGAAAAACAAACCAGAATCAAATAGAACTCCTAAATCTGAAATTTTATTACATCTATCAATGCTGGTGTTAGAAATTTTATAATCAAAATGTATTGGAACTGCGCTTATGTGAAAAACTAAGAATCTTGCACTTTGATATATTTAAATATAATTTGTTAAAGACACACCAAGAGTGGAAAGAGTCAAGTTGAGACTGTAATAATAAGTAGTCATCAATAGAATTTATTTTGAGATATAGTTTGAGATCATCTGCAAATAATAAATGTGGACAGCTAATAATATCAGATATGTCATTAATAAAAATAATAAATAGTAGTGGACCAAGAATGGATCCCTGAGGAACACCTGAACTGATATTTTCAATTTTGCTCAAGTATCCATTAAGATAGACAAACTGTTCACGATTATGAAGATAACTCTTAAAAAAATAAATAAGTGAAGAATTAAGACCAATCTTAGATAATTTAGTAAGAAGAATGTTATAAAAATACTTGTTAATATGCAAGTTACAAGAAAAAACTATATGTTCTAATTAACATTCTAAATTCATATTGTGTTTTTATTTAAGTCGAACTTCGTAAAGACACATTTTTTATTTCAAACACATATTTTGAGATCTGAAGTACTATACTAAAATTACTTTATTAAAACAAACTAGAAAAACTAATGTGAATAAAGAAAAATTATAATTCGTGGCAGTTCAAGTATTAATTATGATCGTAAGTGCATTTCAAAATAAATACGACAGAAAATTTGTTATAACATATTTATTATAGTAGAATATATCAATATATACAAATTTTGAAAACAAAATGAGCATCTCAAATATGTGTTACTATCTATCCTGTAATATATTACAGTAAAATTTAATATAAATTACATTACTATAGTTAAAAATAAGAAGCAGTTAAGGTCCAAATTTAACGCTTTAGAGGCACCATATAATTCAAATAATCCCTATAACATTTTATCGATTAAATTTATAAAATCAATTTTGAGATTTACAACATAAAACAAAGGCCAGCAATGATAAAAGATTTTTTAGTTTATCGCCTTATTAAATTATCATGAAGTGTTGTAGATAGTCTAAAAATGTTACAATTGGGGCACAAAAGAATTCAACACATGTACTCTTTTAAAAATTCTAATATTTGTCCTTACTTACAGACCAATTTTGCCCTCAGAGAGTCTCCAAACATTCTCAACGAACTGACCCAGTATTTATACACACCATATGCCCTCCAAAAGTGGCCCGTTAAAATGATTGCAGTGCGGAAATTTATGCAGGTAATAAAATTGACAATGAAATGATACCTTATTTTACATCAGAATTATATTTATATTACGTATACAGGATTGAATTTTGTAATTACAGAAAATAAATTATCTTAATTGAATTAATTACAGTAAAATACAACTATAAAACAATATTAAGCCTAACATTAGTATAATTAATTCAATAACTTGAAGAAAAAATGTTATAATATTGAAATAGTTTATTTAAGGCTTGTAGATCTTGAGATTCTTCTTATGGTAAAAAAAATCCTTTAAATATCCGTCATGCAATTTTATTGAGTCCCATATCTGGAAAAAATAATAATTAAGCGCAGTATCAAAAAAGAATATAATATGAAAATAATTGCAATGATGAAATACTTAGGGTAGAAAAATGTTAAAATAATTGGAATAAAAATTCGAAAAAGTATGGAAAAGGGAAAAAATAATTGTAACTGTTGGAAAAAAAAGTATCCAATATTTATCAGTAGGCATTTCATTATAAAAATAATGTTTGATATCGAAATTGGCAAACTCAGAAGTTTCGTAGAAACTTTGGGCTTTTAAAGTTTAAGAATGCTATTATGAAATTGACGATCATCAATTTCCTAACATATAGTGAGAATAGATTAAAAAGCTGTACTCCTCTTCCGTCTATGGTATTGAAAGATGTTCAAGTTTAAAAGTTGGTCCTTTATAGTCAAATTTCTTGTTTTTAATAGAAATCAACATGGAGGATAGAAGTCTGGAAGCGTTCAGGATTATCTTAATGAATGACAACGTAATTAGCAAAAATATATAGGGAACAGTGAGAATGTTAAATAGTCGATAAAATTCCTACATGAGTGCAAGGAACTGAGGGAAAAAAAATATTCTTAATGCTCTTTCTGTATTTTGAATATATCCTTTAAGGATGACGAGAATCCCCGAAATTGTATTCCATATGCGAGATGGAATAGAAATTAGAATAATAAATTTAAAGAAGGCAATTTAAACTAAATTTAGATTTTAGAATCCTCAACATGAAACAGCTTTTTGTTAACTTAGATACAAGTATGGAATAAATGATTGTCCCAGTTTAAGTTTTTGTGTAATTGGATGCCTAGAAATTTTGAGACTGAGGAAAATTCAAATTGAATGCTATTGATAGTTAAAGAATTGATCTCATGACCCATCCTATTTACTGTTCGAAAAGACATAATTTGGGTTTTGTCATTATTGAGCAAAAGATTATTAGAGTTGAACCAATTCGAAATTGACTTCATAACTAGATTTAATTTATTATTTACTTCTTCTAAAGAATTGTACATTTTGGCAGATCGTTTATGTAGATGAGAAATAATAATGGTCCGAGAATTGAGCCCTGAGGGACACCGAGCTTAATATTTTGTTTGTCTGAGATAATTACTAAACCACGATCATTCAGATAAACAGATTGAGTCCTATTTGATAAGTACAATGAAAATAATTCAAGAGATTTACCATGCACACCTTATTTTTCGAGCTTGTTTAAAAAAAATTCATGAGAGATAAAATCAAAAGCTTTGGACAAGTCACAGAAAACTGCAATGCAGAAACTACCATTAATTGTATCAATTGTAAAATTTCAGGTGCTATGGAGAATTGGGGAGCAGTGACTTTTAGAGAGTCTTTACTCCTGTACGATGATGTTGCGAGTGACACCAAGAGTAGATATTCGATTGTTTCGGTAGGTAAACATCCACTTATACCAGTCTAATTATTATTTTTGAATTGCTCAGTATCCAGTACAAAATTCAGAATCCTTTGCATTACCCAGAAAAGTTTAGACAAGTTTTAGTATCTTTAGTGTTATTTTTCCTTTTCCAGGTGATTGCCCATGAACTGACCCACCAGTGGCTGGGCAACCTAGTCACCTTGAAATGGTGGAATGATTTATGGTTGAACGAAGGGGTAACCACCTACGTCACTGGTCTAATAGTGGAGCAAGTGCATCCAGAATGGAACTCTCTTCTGGAAAACACTGCCAAAACGGTCATGAGTTTGCTGGAAGTTGACTCTTTGAAGGGATCTCATCAGGTGAAAAATCGAAATTACACTTTATGGTAATTTAGGTCAGAATTATATTGTTTTTTTTTTTTTTTGTGGTTTAGGTGTCTGTAAAAATTGATAATCCAAATGATATTGGCCAGATTTTTGATTCTATATCGTACAGTAAAGGAAGTATGATTTTGAGGATGCTGGATTTGATTTTGGCTGATAATATATTCAGACTAGGTTTGAAAAGGTATTTAGATCTAATTCATATTTTGCCAATTGCAGTACAAATAGTATAAAAATAAACCCACTTTGTAGACAAATCAGTGCCAGTGACATTTTTATACAATTTTGTTTATAATTCGGAAGTTTATGTTGCAAATTCTTATCTTCAATATTTAGATACTATTAATATTTTGCCAGTTGTAGTACAAATAGTATGAGAATCTACTCACTTTGCAGACAAATCAGTTTGAGTGATATTTTTATATTATTATTCATAGCTTGAAAACTAATTATTGCAAGTTGATACTGTCTTAAGATAAATTAAAGATAATTTCATTATCTACAAGTTCATCAAAGACAGTATTTAGATACAATTAATATTCTGCCAGTTGCAGTGCAAATATTTATT